CAGCCCAGCCCGGCCTGTTCCTGCTCCACGCACCAATACTACGGGGTGCGTCGCCAGCCCAGCCCGGCCTGTTCCTGCTCTACGCACAAAGCCTACGGTGTGCGTCGCCAGCCCAGCCCGGCCTGTTCCTGCTCCACGTACGAAGCCTACGGTGTGCGTCGCCAGCCCAGCCCGGCCTGTTCCTGCTCTACGCACAAAGCCTACGGTGTGCGTCGCCAGCCCAGCCCGGCCTGTTCCTGCTCCACGTACGAAGCCTACGGTGTGCGTCGCCAGCCCAGCCCGGCCTGTTCCTGCTCCACGTACTAAGCCTAAGGTGTGCGTCGCCAGCCCAGCCCGGCCTGATCCTGCCACTCGCACCAAACCAGGGGTGCGAGTCGCCAGCCCAGCCCAGCCGGTCCCTGCTCCACGCACTAAGTTAATGGTGCGCGTCGCCAGCCCAGCCCGGCCTGTCCCTGCTCTACGCACTAAGCCTACGGTGTGCGTCGTCAGCCCAGCCCAGCCGGTCCCTGCTCCACGCACCAGGCCCACGGTGTGCGTCGTCAGCCCAGCCCAGCCGGTTCCTGCTCCACGCACCAGGCCCACGGTGTGCGTCGTCAGCCCAGCTCGTCCTGTCCCTGCTCCACGCACCAGGCCTACGGTGTGCGTCGTCAGCCCAGCCCAGCCGGTCCCTGCTCCACGCACCAGGCCCACGGTGTGCGTCGTCAGCCCAGCTCGGCTTGTCCCTGCTCCACGCACCAGGCCCACGGTGTGCGTCGTCAGCCCAGCCCGGCCGGTCCCTGCTCCACGCACCAGGTCCACGGTGTGCGTCGCCAGCCCAGCCCGGCCTGTTCCTGCTACTCGCACCAAGCCAAGGGTGCGAGTCGTCAGCCTGGTCCAGCCCGTTCCTGCTACTCGCACCAAGCCAGGGGTACGAGTCGTCGGCCTGGTCCAGCCCGTTCCTGCTACTCGCACCAAGCCAAGGGTGCGAGTCGTCAGCCTGGTTCAGCTCGTCCCTGCTACTCGCACCAAGCCAAGGGTGCGAGCCGTCAGCCTGATCCAGCCCACTCCTGCTACTCGCACCAAGCCAGGGATGCGAGTCGTCAGCCTGGTGAGGCCCGTTCCGGCTCCACGCATCAAGCCTAGGGTGCGTATCGTCAGCCAGGTCCGGTCCGTTCCTGCCTCACGCGCCAAGCCAGGGGTGCGCGTCGTCAGTCCAGATCCTACCAGCTGGGTCAGATCGGACCGGGGGCGCTACGGGGGGATTGAAGAAGGGTGGTGGTCAAGCCCGGAGCCGGAGCCGCCTCCGAGGAGTAATGCCCACCCAGCCCTCCCCTGTTTGGGGGTTTTGAGGCGCGGTCGCAGTCCGCGCCTTTAGGGGGGGGGTACTGTCACGCTCTGGCTCCGGGACTTTGTATGTTGAGCCAGGGTGTGTTCGTTTCGTGGTGTTCTGTTTGGTTGGGTTGTCTATGTGGTTGTTTCCTTGTTTGGTCGTGTGACTCCCAATCAGTGGTAACGAGTGTCAGCTGTCGGCTCGTTATCTCTGATTGGGAGCCATATTTAAACTGTGTGTTTTCACCTTGTGTTTGTGGGTTTTTGTTCCATGTTCTGTCAGTGTTACAGAGGACTTCACGTATCGTCATTGTTTGTTGTTTTGGTATTTGAGTACTTTAATTTAATAAAGTCATGTTCGCTCAACGCGCTGCGCTTTGGTCTCATTCGTCAGACGATCGTGACAGAATCACGTTCTAATACGATCAGTTATGTAATTTCATTAAAGTAAGTATGCGTAAAAGTAACAGTTTGTTTTTGCATGGTGAATGTGTAATTGTTGGTTTGTGCACAAACATAATGAAATATTTTTTGGAAGGCTTTATACAGGCAACATCTATTAACCTTAATGTGAGAGGGCAATCGATAGGCCTACACTTGTTTTACACTTTATCTCCACGTTTCACATGTTATTTGTCATTAGAACGCACAAGAATTTGGATAGTTCCAACTTTTTCCTTTAATGACTCTATATTATTTAAACTTACAGTAATGTGTCAATATCAATCCAGTGTACATGGTGGAATCAATATGTATTAGACTGGCATGCAGCTAACTGGATGTGACCTTCATACCATTAGCCATATTATGCTCGGTTTAACATGTTTATCCCATTTATGGGCTATTTCAACTTTTTTTTTTTGTTAACTTCTACTAATACCCAATACTTGAAAATGTTTGAAAAAGTAATACTAAAAAAGGGTTAGGCGAGAAACCTTGAATGTAAAGAACTTTCTGTTAATATAGTTTAGTTATTATAATATATACCACGTTTCCATTCGTTTATCTGGAAATGTGATTGTTTTTACTCACATCTTTAAATTGCACCAGTCCTAGATGCCCAAGCTCATTGATGCAGTTTTGAGCTGACTCCGTTTGGAAAAACAGCTGGACAAGACACATCTCTTCACTCCGAAAAAAGGAATCCATCTTTAAATCAAACTAGTCCTGATTTGACTTAGGCGATCCTATAACAAAACCATGTGTTGTGCTCTTAGAATAACAACATTCACAGCAAGCGCCTCACATTTCTAATACATGCTAGACTACCCTTCAATGTGTCTTTTGAAGGGAAGTCCAAACATGAAATGGAAAGAGTGGTTGTGTCATCAGGATCAATAATGACACTGCTGCTGTGGTACTCACCAACACCACATGGTATACTGAGCCTGTGCCGTATAAGGGCTGAGTGAGCCACGGAGATGAGCCATTTGATCAAATCAAATCAAATCACATTTTATTTGCCACATACACGTGTTTAGCAGATGTTATTGCGGGTGTAGCGAAATGCTTGTGCTTCTAGCTCCGACAGTGCAGTAATATCTAATAAGGGTTAGGCTACTCGCGAGGCAAACTGCTACAGAAAGACAGTGCCATAATATTGACGTTATAAAGTGACTGTCCGCTTGAGTGTTTTGAATATAACGCTTTTTAGAAATTGTGTAATTGGGAATCTGGGAAATGATTTGTTAAGAATAACATGACCTAGAAATAATACATTGAACATGTATTGGTAAAATGTATATCTGTATTCTCCATCTGCCAGATACAGTGGGGGAAAAAGTATTTAGTCAGCCACCAATTGTGCAAGTTCTCCCACATAAAAAGATGAGAGAGGCCTGTAATTTTCATCATAGGTACACGTCAACTATGACAGACAAATTGAGGAAAAAAAATCCAGAAAATCACATTGTAGGATTTTTAATGAATTTATTTGCAAATTATGGTGGAAAATAAGTATTTGGTCACCTACAAACAAGCAAGATTTCTGGCTCTCACAGACCTGTAACTTCTTCTTTAAGAGGCTCCTCTGTTCCTCCACTCGTTACCTGTATTAATGGCACCTGTTTGAACGTGTTATCAGTATAAAATATACCTGTCCACAACCTCAAACAGTCACACTCCAAACTCCACTATGGCCAAGACCAAAGAGCTGTCAAAGGACACCAGAAACAAAATTGTAAACCTGCACCAGGCTGGGAAGACTGAATCTGCAATAGGTAAGCAGCTTGGTTTGAAGAAACCAACTGTGGGAGCAATTATTAGGAAATGGAAGACATACAAGACCACTGATAATCTCCCTCGATCTGGGGCTCCACGCAAGATCTCACCCCGTGGTGTCAAAATGATCACAAGAACGGTGAGCAAAAATCCCAGAACCACACAGGGGGACCTAGTGAATGACCTGCAGAGAACTGGGACCAAAGTAACAAAGCCTACCATCAGTAACACACTACGCCGCCAGGGACTCAAATCCTGCAGTGCCAGACGTGTCCCCCTGCTTAAGCCAGTACATGTCCAGGCACGTCTGAAGTTTGCTAGAGTGCATTTGGATGATCCAGAAGAGGATTGGGAGAATGCCATATGGTCAGATGAAACCAAAATAGAACTTTTTGGTAAAAACTCAACTCATCGTGTTTGGAGGACAAAGAATGCTGAGTTGCATCCAAAGAACACCATACCTACTGTGAAGCATGGGGGTGGAAACATCATGCTTTGGGGCTGTTTTTCTGCAAAGGGACCAGGACGACTGATCCGTGTAAAGGAAAGAATGAATGGGGCCATGTATCGTGAGATTTTGAGTGAAAACCTCCTTCCATCAGCAAGGGCATTGAAGATGAAACATGGCTGGGTCTTTTAGCATGACAATGATCCCAAACACACCGCCCGGGCAACGAAGGAGTGGCTTCGTAAGAAGCATTTCAAGGTCCTGGATTGGCCTAGCCAGTCTCCAGATCTCAACCCCATAGAAAATCTTTGGAGGGAGTTGAAAGTCTGTGTTGCCCAGCGACAGCCCCAAAACATCACTGCTCTAGAGGAGATCTGCATGGAGGAATCGGCCAAAATACCAGCAACAGTGTGTAAACCTTGTGAAGACTTACAGAAAACGTTTGACCTGTGTCATTGCCAACAAAGGGTATATAACAAAGTATTGAGAAACTTTTGTTATTGACCAAATACTTATTTTCCACCATAATTTGCAAATAAATTCATTAAAAATCCTACAATGTGATTTTTTGGAATTTTTTTTCTCATTTTGTCTGTCATAGTTGACGTGTACCTATGATGAAAATTACAGGCCTCTCTCATCTTTTTAAGTGAGAGAACTTGCACAATTGGTGGCTGACTAAATACTTTTTCCCCCCACTGTATAGGCTACCCCTTTTTTTCTGATCTGTATAAAAGAGCACATAAGGCCTGCATTAGAAGAAAAAAAAAACATAAGAATTGTAATAATTCTAATTTCTTTAGGCCTGATTGTCTTCATTTCCATGTTAACAAAATAAAGTTTAGTAGCCTTTTCCTGGTCTCATATGTGGTAGGCTATATACAGGATTAGTAACTGTCGCGTTATAACGTGTCCTACCAGGGTACAATCGGAATCCCCTCCCCACACATATTTTATTCATAGGGGGTGATATTGCCCCTCCACCATAAAGCGTGCTTCAATTATGGGGGTGGTCTCGCGTCATGTGATCCCCAAGCATCACCCAAGTCCTTTGTTGATGGTGATTCACAAAACATCACTCGGACATTGTCTGGGTAAATTGCTACAACAACACAATATATTTTCGCCTTTGCTGGGATTGTGTTGATGAAGGAGGGACATTTAAACCAGGGATATTTGCCGCTGGGATAAAATAGAGAAAGGTAGGCACGTCAAAGGTAAAGGCGACAGTCAAAATAGCCCATGATCGCACACCCTATCTGTAGGACGGCCAGACGAGCGATAAGTAGAGACAACCCGACATTTGGTTTATGCAGTTTGTGTGCTGAAGTCCAAGATAATGGTGTTTTTTCTATGGCTATCCTGGGAGAAAATCCCCGTTCTGCAAAGGAGATGAAACAATTTTTGTTAGCCGTGGTTGAAACCGTTTGCAAATAACAACGCGTTTTGTTCGCTGGGTGTCAATACACATCTGGTGGATTCGTTGGAATATTTCTGCAATTTAAATGAAAAAAGCATAGGTTGTAATTAGGAGAAACGACAGTGTGTTCATTCTACACAGCATCGTGAGCATCATGTCCAGAGGATATCCCTTCTCATCTCACGGACCCTCCGCAGGCCGTTTTCTCTCCTCTGTCCTCTGCCTTTTGGCCGTCTCGACACTGCCTGGAGCACAAGCTTCATACCCTCAGAGCAGCGAATGTGTCTCTGGAAAAGGCAAGGGCTGCCTAGGTGAGTATCAACACATTTACTTTATCAATTCACTTTGACAAAGCAAAAAGCAACCTCTTCTAGGGAAATAATTTGGACCTCTGGAGGTGGGTTATACTCCTTGCTGAATGAACGCTGCTCGGTAATTGGGAATCCTTGACCAGCAGACAAAGAACATCATGCTCAGTTAGTCTGAATTCGTCGGAAATAAGGCACTGAGTGGCCCTGCTTCATAAGCAGAATCACCTTGGATCAATGCATGTTTTTTTCTTATTATTTTTTCTTTTGAGAAATCAGATTTGATAGGCCTATGTGTATTTGGGGGATGCCTCGATCTGTCCCCTCTGGTGAGGTGCATGCAGGGAAATAATTCCCATCTGTGAACCCCACCCTGGATTGTCCTGCTCTCTTTGGTTGGGTTTCAATATTAAATGGAAACAGCCAGTGCTCAGTTTCCTGGTTACAAGTAAAGACTTTTGTTTGTATACAGTGTCATCAACAAATGGGGGGGGGGGGGGGGGGGGGGGGGGGGGGGGGTTCCACCATCAGGATGGAAGACAACATTCAGTGTGACTTTCAATCAATTAATCACATTTATTTATAAAGCCCTTTTACATCATCAGATGTCATAAAGTGCTATACAGAAACCCAGCCTAAAACCCCAAACAATGCAGATGTAGAAGCAGGGTAGCTAGGAAAAACTCCCTTTCTAGGCAGGAACCTAGGAAGAAACCTAGAGAGATTGGCGTATGATTTGGCCCAACGCTTTGACAGATTGGCCTATGCTTGATGACATTAGAGATTAATGGAAACGTAAATACAATGTGGATATATTTCCACCCCCTCCCTAATCCCAAAAGCCCTGAGTGTTTCCATAGCAGTTTGTTATGGAGGTCTATATGTATGGCATTCATTAAGTAGGCTACGGTTTTACCTTTAATTTCAAAGCATTCCGATTTATAAGGTAGATCATGTCGGGGTAGCTTTCCTGATAAAACCAATAGTCTTTGTTTTCCTCGTGTCAAGCTATTTGTTTACTTTCGCTACTCACCCGATTAACTTCCTTCAATAAACAGAGCCATTCCTTTTCCCCATGGTCCTGGTTGTTCTTCACTGCTCCTGAAAAAAACCTATAATTGGGTTCTGATCAGGCTCAGAAAACCCCATAGCAGATGTGACCTCAGCAATCATAAATCTCCCAGATATAAAGCAACATATTTCAGTACCTTTTTATTTTCTATCGTTTTCGGGTTGAGGCATTTAGCTGGATCTGGGATACACAACTGATAATGTGGGACGTGGATTAAGCTTGACCTGACATTAGACTGCTTCTGAAAATATTTGACCAAATTTACATTTTGGAGTTAACTGTCCCTTTAAATACAGTGAGTCACTCTGGATAAGAGCATCTGCTAAATGACTAAAATGTATGTAAAGAACAAATACTGGTAAAACAGCAAGAATTACTGTACTTACATTACTAATGCTTCTATAGTGTTGTTCAGGGTCAATGCTGTTTGATTGAATTCTAACCCTGGTCCTGCTCTATGACTACTGTAGTGTTTTGAAGACTTCTGATCCTATACAGTGGTGCTATTTCTTGATTACAGAGGAGTTTTAGGTCATGACCCGTATTTAAATCGGCTAGCTTCAGGACCCAGAGGGCGTGACTTTAATGAGGAAATTAGCAGTTTGGACAATAGTCTTTTAAGTACAGGGTGACTGAGATGGGGGATAGCCGCCTTTATACAGAGACTGGGACCATTGTTTTAGTAATATTTTTACATTTTAGTCATTTAGCAGACGCTCTTATCCAGAGCGACTTACAGTAGTGAGTGCATACATTTTCATACTTTTTTTGTACTGGTCCCCCACAACCCTGGCGTTGCAAGCGCCATAATCTACCAACTGAGCTAAACAGGACTACCTACCAGTAACAGACTGGTGTATTGAGAAGAGGAGTTAATTGTTAGGAATGGCTGATGATAATCTTTGGCCTGGAACTACTTTGCCTCCCATTTGTTCAAAGTTTGGGTTATTAGCCCTTGTGGCGCATTTACCTGTCTCAAGCTATTGGATTAGCATCATACTAGTGGCTTCCTCTTTTTAGAACTTCTCTAACAGAGGGGTTACTCTTGGGAATAAGATAACATAAAGCTCCTATTGCAGATCATGTGTGTTGAAAATGGTCTTCTCTCATGGGGACTGGCAACGAGAACTTCAGGTCAAACCTCAGTGCAGTAGGATTCTTCCATTCCCATCACCTCTCCTTTTCTCTCTCCTGTTTCTCTTCCTCTTTTTTTAATTTTATTTTTAATTTTTTTAATTTCACCTTTATTTAACCAGGTAAGCCAGTTGAGAACAAGTTCTCATTTACAACTGCGACCTGGCCAAGATAAAGCAAAGTAGTGCGATAAAAACAACAACACAGAGTTACATATGGGGTAAAAAAACATAAAGTCAAAAAAATACAACAGAAAATATATATACAGTGTGTGCAAATGTAGCAAGTTATGGAGGTAAGGCAATAAATAGGCTATAGTGCAAAATAATTACAATTACAGTGGGGAAAAAAAGTATTTAGTCAGCCACCAATTGTGCAAGTTCTCCCACTTAAAAAGATGAGAGAGGCCTGTAATTTTCATCATAGGTACACGTCAACTATGATAGACAAAATGAGAATTTTCTTTCCAGAAAATCACATTGTAGCATTTTTAATGAATTTATTTGCAAATTATGGTGGAAAATAAGTATTTGGTCAATAACAAAAGTTTCTCAATACTTTGTTATATACCCTTTGTTGGCAATGTCACAGGTCAAACGTTTTCTGTAAGTCTTCACAAGGTTTTCACACACTGTTGCTGGTATTTTGGCCCATTCCTCCATGCAGATCTCCTCTAGAGCAGTGATGTTTTGGGGCTGTCGCTGGGCAACACGGACTTTCAACTCCCTCCAAAGATTTTCTATGGGGTTGAGATCTGGAGAATGGCTAGGCCACTCCAGGACCTTGAAATGCTTCTTACGAAGCCACTCCTTCGTTGCCCGGGCGGTGTGTTTGGGATCATTGTCATGCTGAAAGACCCAGCCACGTTTCATCTTCAATGCCCTTGCTGATGGAAGGAGGTTTTCACTCAAAATCTCACGATACATGGCCCCATTCATTCTTTCCTTTACACGGATCAGTCGTCCTGGTCCCTTTGCAGAAAAACAGCCCCAAAGCATGATGTTTCCACCCCCATGCTTCACAGTAGGTATGGTGTTCTTTGGATGCAACTCAGCATTCTTTGAGTTTTTACCAAAAAGTTATATTTTGGTTTCATCTGACCATATGACGTTCTCCCAATCCTCTTCTGGATCATCCAAATGCACTCTAGCAAACTTCAGACGGGCCTGGACATGTACTGGCTTAAGCAGGGGGACACGTCTGGCACTGCAGGATTTGAGTCCCTGGCGGCGTAGTGTGTTACTGATGGTAGGCTTTGTTACTTTGGTCCCAGCTCTCTGCAGGTCATTCACTAGGTCCCCCCGTGTGGTTCTGGGATTTTTGCTCACCGTTCTTGTGATCATTTTGACCCCACGGGGTAAGAACTTGCGTGGAGCCCCATTTCGAGGGAGATTATCAGTGGTCTTGTATGTCTACCATTTCCTAATAATTGCTCCCACAGTTGATTTCTTCAAACCAAGCTGCTTACCTATTGCAGATTCAGTCTTCCCAGCCTGGTGCAGGTCTACAATTTTGTTTCTGGTGTCCTTTGACAGCTCTTTGGTCTTGGCCATAGTGGAGTTTGGAGTGTGACTGTTTGAGGTTGTGGACATGTGTCTTTTATACTGATAACAAGTTCAAACAGGTGCCATTAATACCGGTAACGAGTGGAGGACAGAGGAGCCTCTTAAAGAAGAAGTTACAGGTCTGTGAGAGCCAGAAATCTTGCTTGTTTGTAGGTGACCAAATACTTATTTTCCACCATAATTTGCAAATAAATTCATAAAAAATCCTACAATGTGATTTAGCTCTCTCCTGTTTCTCTTCCTATTTCCTGTTTCTCTCCCTCTCTCTCTCCGCATCTCTCTCCCTCCCTCCGTTTTCACTAAATATCACGATTACATAACACATTAATCCTCAGCAATATAATTCCGTACACATTGCGATAGCATACCTGGCTCTGTGCTGGTAAGCCTACTTTGGCTACCTGAAATCCTCATAAATCCTATCAGCAATGCCTCTCACACATAATGTGCTTGAGCTCCCGATCAAAGATTCTCAGATCGCACATCACCTTCTCCTCCAATCTTTTCCGGTCTACTCTCTAGGTCCCTGTTGATCGTTCGTGGCTTTGGTCTCCCGTGATCATGTAACGGCATTTACTGTGTAGATGAGGACCGAATCGTCTGAATGACTAGTGGCAAAATTTCTCAGTCCAGTTATACTGGGCAGTGACTGTTGCACAATGCACATAGCACTGTCTCTCTCAATGAACTTGTACTAACGATGCGTAGCTAAGCTCTCTCTGTACCGGATCTCTCATTAGTAGAACCATTGACGAAGTGAGGAGATTAGTACTACTGATGTCTTGTGGTGAAGCAGTCCGGTGACTACGTGTTACTAATTATCCGGGATCTTCGCTCTTTTAGTCCCATTGATTTTTGCTTCTCCTTCCTCTGATAAATACCACCCAGTATGAGAGATGTTCAAGTGTATTTCTGGCTAAAGGGGAAGCTTGTTATTGGCTTTGGGGCTTATACAAGTGATGAAAGTCATTACTGGAAGGAGTGGCTGTGAACTCTTGAGTTGCCAGGACTTAATTAGCTTTGGTTCATACTGGATTTTAGCCTGGAATCCTAACTGATTTACTCAGTTTCACGGTGAAACAAAGCATATGGATTTGGATTCCAGACTAACTGCAAAGAAAAAGCCATATCTCAGACTGGCCAATAAAAAGAAAAGATTAAGATGGGCAGTCTGAGATATGGCTTTTTCTTTGCAACTCCATTTTATTTTTATTTGACCTTTATTTAACTAGGCAAGTCAGTTAAGAACAAATTCTGATGCTCCAGATACTCAACTAGTCTCAAGAAGTAGCTCAGGGATGTAGCTCAGTTGGTAGAGCATGGCATTTGCAACGGCAGGGTTGTGGGTTCGATTCCAGTATAAAAAATAAAAATGTATGCACTCACTAACTGTAAGTCGCTCTGGATAAGAGCGTCTGCTAAATGACTAAAATGTAAATGTAAAGATGGCCGGTTTTATTGCTCCTTTAATCAGCACACCAGTTTTCAGCTGTGCTAACATACTTTTCTAATGATCAATTAGCCTTTTAAAATGATAAACTTGGATTAGCAAACACAACATACCATTGGAACACAGGACTGATGGTTGCTGATAATGGGTATCAGTACGCCTATGTAGATAATCCATTACAAATCAGCCGTTTCCAGCTACAATAGCCATTTACAACATGAACAATGTCTACACTGTATTTCTGATCAATTTGATGTTATTTTAATGGACAAAAAAATTGATTTTCCTTTCGAAAACAAGGACATTTCTAAGTGACCCCAAACTTTTGAACGGTAGTGTATCTCTACTAAATGTATTTGTAAAATAATGGTATTTCACTGCCTTGCTGATAAGAACACCTTGTTTTTTACAGATGTGTCTGAGAAGAAGAGTGACCTGAGAGTGTGTGATGCTGCAACATGTCGTTACGGGGGAACCTGTCGAGAGAATGGGGCCGACCTGAAATGTGTCTGCCAGTTCCATGTAAATAACACAGTGGAATATAGGCCATCATGTTCTCTGTTGTGAAATAAGACCACCATCACCATTATCATGAGCAAGAAAGCAAGCAGGAATGGCTTATCCAAATGTGGCACAACCCTTTGCCATCCTTTAGCATGGCATTTGCTTATAAATAATTTCTGAAGCCTATAGGTATTATAAAGGGTATAAGAACTTTTAGGTTCCTGTCCTCAGAAACGGTTAGGTCTAGGCTATGATGGTTCAGTAACTCTAACATCCTACCATTACCCATTGTGTTCCAGTGCTCTAAGAAGTACATCCCTGTTTGTGGGTCCAACGGAGACACCTTCCAGAACGAGTGCTTCTTGAGGAGAGCAGCGTGCAAGCAGCAGAAGTCCATATCACAGGTCTCTGAAGGGGCCTGCTATACCGGTGAGTCTCAGGATGTAGCAGACTGCACAGACCTTTGAGATCACTTTTTTCTCACTCTATTCTGTCCCTAGTCATGGTCTTATTACTCATTTAGATCAAGCTGAAACTAACTCATTTTCTATGCTCTAACACACAGATGGCAGTTCTGGATCAGGCGACGGAGGTATAGTGCTGTAACTTGGTCTTGCTTCACTTTAATAAGTTGGACTTGCCAACCCATATTACAATGTTACAGAAAGAGCTTGCTAAAAATAGCTTGCTAAAAGAAAAGCTTTGCAAATCCAAACACTAATGGAACAATATTAACTTTGTTGACAGCTAACATTAACAGATTTTTGAAATACTCTCCTTTCCTACAGACGATGAAGGATCAGGCACAGGCAGAGGGACAAAGCCCACAAAATGTGGCATCTGCAAGTTTGGAGCAGAATGTGATGTGGACTCTGAGGATATCTTGTGAGTCCTCTCTTCTGGAATTACATTTTAGTCATTTAGCAGACGCTCTTATCCAGAGCGACTTACATGAGCAATTAGGGTGCTTTAAGTGCCTTGCTCAAGGGCACATCGACAGATTTTTCACCTTGTCGGCTCAGGGATTAGAACCAGCGACCTTTCGGTTACTGGCACAACGCTCTTAACCACTAAGCTACCTGCCAACCACTGGCATTATACCCTTTACAGAAAAACTTAACGGTATGTTGCCAATAAAATAAATCAGGCAATGTTTTTTAGAACCCAATTCATACAGGTCAATTTATACCACATTCTGTCAGAGATAAGCCTTTTATATCTCCCTTGCACATGCCGGCAAGTTTAGGAGTGGGAGTAGACGTGGGCTGATGTGGGTGGATTTTAATACTTCCATTGAAAATACACCATCACAAAGAAATCCATTATTAATTGATTTTAGGCAGGTCCTAACAAACATTATAAGACTAATACAATGTATTTTTATAAGAATAGAATGGCATATTTTGAGTTTAATGATGTTACTGGTCTGTGCATCCTATAGGCTGCATGGCTACACCATGCACATGAAATCAATAGTTATTTAGTTAATTAAACAGACAAGACTTAGACTACCCTGATCACAGTCAACACACATATATTTTACAGTAGGCTAAGAATGTAATGAAATCTAACAGAATAAAATATGAATAATACTTTTCCCAACACAACTTGCGTCACGGCAGCATGTGGAACTGCTGTCATATAAAAAAAGTGATATTTTGAAACAGAACCCAAGGCAAGCCCGTGCTTTTTTTGATCCATGTTTGATATTTTTTCCTAACCTCACTCTGCTTTGTTAGGGAGCAGGAGTAGTGTCTTACATGGAGAGTATTTTCATCATGATACAGATAGAAAGTAATATAAATCTATTGTATATTTTTATAGTTTATATTTCACAAACTCTGCAGGCTTTTGGAGTTGCCTTTAGGTGATCGAGCAAAATAATAGACCTACAGTTGATTTAGGCTACGTTATAGCATGCTAAATGTTTCTGATCAGTGATAGATGAGCTATACCACCTCCACTTATTTGCTCAGCCAGAGACTGAACCAGATATACAGACGGAGGTAGGCCTAGGCTACTGAAGAGCAAAATAATCCACTTACATTTAACAGATGCTCTTATCCAGAGCAACTTACAGTTAGTGAGTGCATACATTTTTCTTCACACTGGTCCCCTGTGGGAATCGAACCCACAACCTTGGCGTTGCAAGCGCCATGCTCTACCAACTGAGCTACATGGGACACTTGTTAAGTTACATAACATGCTGGCAAAATGTTCTGATCAGTGCTAATAAATGAGCCAACAAGACAACATGATCATGAGCAGTACTCAGCTCAACTTTAACACAATCGTGACTAGGTCGGTTCGCAGAAATAAAAGTTTTGGCTTTGATACCGGCAACACCGTTCAGATATAAAGAAAAGGCGGGGAAAAAATCACGGGATGCTAAAGTTGTTGGAAAATCATCTTGGTTTGAAAGGTGTATTATTGTGCACCCAGTAGTTTCTGAAAGGAGGACTTCTTTATTTGGGTCCCAATGATCTGAATCCTTAGTCCTCCAAATCTTCTGTTATTTTCTCCATAAACTGGGGTCCTGGGTTGTCAGATTCTAATCTTTTTTACTTCTACGGTATCCAATTGGTAGTTACAGTCTTGTCCCATCCCGTACAGACTCGGAAGAGGCGAAGGTCAAGAGCCGTGCGTCCTCCGAAACACAACCCAACCCAACCCAGCTGTACTGCTTCTTGACACAATGCCCACTTAACCCGGAAGCCAGCTGCACCAATGTGACACACCTGTGTCAGTGTGCACTGCACCCAGCCCGCCACAGGAGTCGCTAGTGCGCAATGGGACAAGAACATCCTGCTGGCCAAACCCTCCCCTAACCTGGACAACGCTGGGCCAATTGTGCGCCGCCCCATGGGTCTCCCGGTCGCGGCTGGCTGCAACAGAGCCTGGACTCGAACCAGGATCTCTAGTGGCACAGCTAGCACTGCGATGCAGTGCCTTAGACCACTGCGTCACTCAGGAGGCCCTATCACATTCGATTCTGTTTGATTGATGGTGTATGTTTAGCGCTTTTAATGTTCATTAAACAGATGTTTATATAAATGTTTTCTTCGACACCCAGGTGCATGTGCAACATTGACTGCAGTGGCCATAATGACAACCCGGTGTGTGGAACAGACGGAAACTCCTACATTACCCCCTGTCACGTAAGAGAGGCATCGTGCTTGAAGCAGGTGAAGATTGACGTGAAGCATCTGGGGAGATGTCCAGGTAATGCCACGTGTTTATCTTAAAATGTAATTTAGAAACATGTAATTTTATGTCCAATGTACTGCATTTACACTGCACTGCATTGTACTGTATTATAATATTGTATTGCATTATAAAGAGGATTATTTCAGGGGGGGAAAACATTGGATAATGGCTTTCGATGGATTTGATTTATTTTTCACAATCTCAGGGAAAGAGAACAAATCACAATTTTATATTTGACAGAGATTTTTAGTGTAGATGAGACAATGCTTGAATGTTGAATACAATGTCCTATATATCCTCCTTCCTGTTGCCAGTCCTGATATTCCTGATGTGTGGTGTGTTTATATAAGCATCCCTCCTACCAGTCATGACTCTCCCCTGCATCACTCTATACAGGCAGTGACCTATATGATGGCTAGTTAATGTCAAACTCTGATGCCTCTGTTGTGAACACAGGAAGGGCAATTCAAATATGATCCCACCACAATTGGTTGATTGATTCTCTCTATGACCATGCACTATGCTATGCTACAGTATATGGTGATGGCTAAGTATATTAGGTTCATCCCTACTTACAACAACTTTATACAATGCTTGAGATTCTTCTTTCTTTTTTTGTTGTTGTAATTTTTACCCCCTTTTTCTCCCAAATTTCGTGATTACGATCTTGTCTCATCACTGCAACTCCCCAACAGGCTCGGGAGAGGCGAAGGTCGAGTCATGCATCCTCCAAAACATGACCCGCCAAACCGTGCTTCTTAACACCCGCCCGCTTACCGGAAGCCAGCCGCACCAATGTGTCGGAGGAGACACCATTCAACTGACAACCAAAGTCATCCTGCAGGCGCCCGGCCCGCCACAAGGAGTCACTAGAGCGCGATGAGCCAAGTAAAGTCCCCCCGGCCAAATCCTCCCCTAACCCGGACAATTTTGTGCCGCCCTATGGGACTGCCGGTCATGACACAGCCTGGGATCGAACCCCAAGCTGTAGTGATGCCGCAACACTGTGATGCAGTGCCTTAGACCTCTGCGCCACTCAGGAGGACCGAGATTCTTCTGTCTTATGTACACTACAATGCGAACATGAAGCCAATCTTTGGGGCACATTATTATAATATAATAATATGCCATTTAGCAGACGCTTTTATCCAAAGCGACTTACAGTCATGCGTGCATACATTTTTTTTTTTTGTGTATGGGAGGTCCCGGGGATCGAACCCACTACCTTGGCGTTACAAGCGCCGTGCTCTACCAGCTGAGCTACAGAGAACCACGTTATGACCGAGGGGCATTGGGCAACAAGCTGGTCAGAGAACTACAAAAATGTTTCTCAATTTTTCCAATTTAGTTCTCTATTTGAGTGCAAAGCCGTACCTCACCAACCCTATTTGAAATATGTCCCAAAATCTAGTTCTAAAAGCTGTAGATCTAAAATATCTATTTACATAAATAATTCACTTTTTGTTTCACAGACCATACGCTGTCCCAAATATTACATTAATCTAAACTTGCATACCCTGCAGAGAATGCACCACACCCTGGAAACCCAATAACTAGTTATGGATGTTCCAATATTCCTATAGTATTCCTATAATGGGATTTCACATTGTATACAGTGGCTTGCAAAAGTATTCACCCCCCTTGGCATTTTTCCTATTTTGTTGCCTTACAACCTGGAATTAAAATGGGGGGTTTGTATCATTTGATTTACACAACATGCCTACCACTTTGAAGATGCAAAATATATTTTATTGTGAAACAAACAAGAAATATGACAAAAAAACGGAAAACTTGAGCGTGCATAACTTTTCACCCCCCCAAAGTCAATACTTTGTAGAGCCACCTTTTGCAGCAATTACAGCTGCAAGTCTCTTTGGGTATGTCTCTATAAGCTTGGCACATCTAGCCACTGGGATTTTTGCCCATTCTTCAAGGCAAAACTGCTCCAGCTCCTTCAAGTTGGATGGGTTCCGCTGGTGTACAGCAATCTTTAAGTCATACCACAGATTCTCAATTGGATTGAGGTCTGGGATTTGACTAGGCCATTCCTAGACATTTAAATGTTTCCCCTTAAACCACTCGAGTGTTGCTTTAGCAGTATGCTTAGGGTCATTGTCCTGCTGGAAGGTGAACCTCCGTCCCAGTCCCAAATCTCTGGAAGACTGAAAAAGGTTTCCCTCAAGAATTTCCCTGTATTTAGCACCATCCATCATTCCTTCAATTCTGACCAGTTTCCCAGTCCCTGCAGCTCCTTCAGGGTTATCTTTGGTCTCTTTGTTGCCTCTCTGATTAGTGCCCTCCTTGCCTGGTCTGTGAGTTTTAGTGGGCGGCCCTCTTTTGGCAGGTTTGCTGTGGGGCGGCAGGTAGCTTAGTGGTTAAGAGCGTTGTGCCAGTAACTGAAAGGTTGCTGGTTCTAATCCCCGAGCTGACTAGGTGAAAAATCTGTTGATGTGCCCTTGAGCAAGGCACTTAACTCTAATTGCTCATGTAAGTCGCTCTGGATAAGAGCGTCTGCTAAATATGTAAAAAATAGTGCCATGTTCTTTCCATTTTTTAATAATGGATTTAATGGTGCTCCGTGGGATGTTCAAAGTTTGGGATATTTTTTTATAACCCAACCCTGATCTGTACTTCTCCACAACTTTGTCCTTGACCTGTTTGGAGAGCTCCTTGGTCTTCATGGGGCCGCTTGCTTGGTGGTGCCCCTTGCTTAGTGGTGTTGCAGACTCTGGGGCCTTTCAGAACAGGTGTATATATACTGAGATCATGTGACACCTAGACTGCACACAGGTGGACTTTATTTAACTAATTATGTGACTTCTGAAGGTAATTGGTTGCACCAGATCTTATTTAGGGGCTTCATAGCAAAGGGGGTGAATACATATCCACGCACCACTTTTCCGTTATTTATTTTTTAGAAGTTTTTGAAACAAGTTATTTTTTTCATTTCACTTCACCAATTTTGACTATTTTGAAATTTTGACTACATGAAATCCAAATAGAAATCCATTTAAATTACAGGTTGTAATGCAACAAAATTGGAAAAAACGCCAAGGCACTGTAAAGGGCCTTATTGCAATACTGGGCAATGTTTGTTTTGCACTCACAAATATGTGTCTTGTTTTCAGAAAAAGGACAGAAAAAAGACAAAGACGATGGTAGCAAAAGCAAGACTGATCTTTTTGGTAAGGTTGTTCCCATTTACTACACTCTGTTATGATGTTTTTATGGTAGTTGATTTATCTATTTATTTATTATTTATTTATTTATTTATGGTTCATGTTGTCTATATGGAAATAGTGCTGCTATGCTGTTACATCACTACAAATTATATTTCTGCTCGACGATAAATGTAAGTTATATTTGATTTGCAAATGAGGACAAGGCCTACCTCGCTCATTAATATTTATATAATCAATATCAATGACCGCGATTTTCTTTATACCTTTAAAGACACAGCAGACATAGGGGAGGATAGAGCTTATGGAGGGATCACCACCCCTTGCACAGAGGACTACGCCAACTTCTGTGAACACGGCCAATGTGAAATCAAGTATAGCATCCCCACCTGCCGGTAAGATCATGTGGTGTCCTTTTTTTGTTGTTTTTTTACCTGCATATCGTCGCTGTCGGATGAAAACCTCATAACTTCAGAATCTTTGCAAATGTAAACATTTATTCAAAATAGTGTCTGAAGTTAATGGGAAAATATGACAGTTTCTTTCTGTTTCATCCGACAGCAACGAGATGCTGTGTGTCTTATTTTCTTAATTCATAGGTAATTACTGTGTGTGTCATTTCTTAGTGAACACCTGGTCATTTCTGTATTATGAAATTAAGTGCTACCTGTTTGGTTGACTTCCCAGGTGTGATTCAGGCTACACTGGCCAGCAGTGTGAGGAGATCCAAGACTTTAACATCCTGTACGTGGTTCCCAGTGGACAGAAACTCCACTACGTTCTCATAGCAGCCATCATCGGAGCCGTACAGATCGCCATCATCGTCGCCGTTGTCATGTGTTTCACAAGGTGGGTGTGCTCTCCAAAGTGACCAATTTGATCTTATTAGCACATTTCTGATATGCAGATTACATTTTTCTGTCTTTTATAAGCCTATGTAATTTTTGTAAACAACATACAATTAGCAAGTCTTATGGAAGATGCTATGCTATGCCAAATGAAAAAAAAATTGTATGCAAACATACTATGCTAATTTTGTAATTTATTTCATATTTCTTTAAGCTAAGTTCTAAAGTTCAGAATAATGTACTTTGAGGGGCAGCCAAATGTGAGTTTGTTTTTATTCATTTTCTATTTTTAAATAGGAGGTGTCCCAAAAACCAGAGGGGACGAAGATAAATGGAACATCTTGGACATTTTCCCTCTGGGACATCATCCAGGATGATGTAGTTGTTTTTTAACTTTTTATTTTATTTTAATGCATTTTGGATTGCACCACATGGATCGCATTTTGATATCTGTTGTTTTGTGCCTCCTTTATTTTGAATGGATGTATATTTATGTTTTATAATGGGGCCTTATTTATCTCTCCCCTATGGACATATGCTGCTCTTGCTGCTTTTTTCCAGACTGCTGCATTATGAATATTTTTCCGACAGGCAGAAAAAGGACAGGATTTTAACCTGATCCTCCATTGTTTGCAAGGTGTTGGTAGCTTTAGACATGCACACCTGGGACACTTAGTTTCAGCTTCACTGACTTTTCTTTCAGTACATTTTACTTTTTTTACTTTTCTTTTTTTTTTTAATTCAACTCTATACCAAATGCAGTTTTCTATAAATGAGGTATAAGCTGATGTGTACAGTTTGTTTTGGTTACTTTTCAATATACCGTTCCGGGGATGGAACACTTTTTTAGACTAGGTACTAATTTAAATGTTTTTATACATCATTTGTCGTTTTTGATGTTCTGATGTTGTTTGTGTTATTGGTAATGAAATAGTTGTAAACAGATTTGATTGTAGATCCTGCATATTGCATGAGCTGTGAAAATGTGTTTAGTGATGTAGTTTCAGTAGTATTAAAATATCTGTGTTCCAAATGCTCATGTTGCCTTCATATGAGGAGGCCTCCTGTAGCTCAGTTGGTAGAGCATGGCGCTTGCAACGCCGGGGTTATGGGTTCGTTTCCCACGGGGGGCCAGTATGAAAAAGGTATGCACTCACTAACTGTAAGTGGCTCTGGATAAGAGCGTCTGCTAAATGACTAGACTGGAATACGAGTATGAATAGTTTAATTACAGAACCAGAATAATTTGCAGAAAATAATTTCTCACAATATTACAATGGTTGTAAAATAAAAGTCTGTAGTCATATTCATTTAATGTTACTGTGATATTATTACAATGTATTATTATAATATTGTAATATTGTTACAGTAATAATGGGTTAAGTGAACTGTCAAACATGACTCATTTTTACATATACAGTACATAACACACAATATTATAACATGTGTATATTACATAATGCACACAATATTATTCTGATTCTGAGAACTACACTGGTTTTAATTCAGTTATTGGGTTACTTGCAGTGTTGGGGAAGCTACTCTGAAAATATAGTTTACCAAGCTACCAATTACTTTACACTGGAGGAAGTTAAGCTACACTAAAGATACCCTTAAGAAACATATAGTTTACTTAACTAAAGTTAGTTTGAAAAAGTAGTTCACTACATCCAAACTACTATGTGATAAATTATCATATCTAAATCTGAAATGTCATAGACTACAAATTGCAATAACAGATCACTCTGCAGTTTAAACAAAATCCTATTTAGCCTATTAAATACAAAAACTATGATTCAAGTAAGAATTCGGCAGATCTGCTGCTGAAAATTAAAGGAAAATCTTGTATACTTAACCAATTTCTAATTTGATTTTTGGCCAAAAATTGTGTGTAGTTCCAGTAGTTAGCTACACTGCAAAAAAGTAATTAACTACTTAAACTACTACCAAGATTTTAATTTTGTTCAACTACCACCAAGCTACTGTAAAATGTAGTTAAATGACTAGTTTAACTACATGTAGTTCACTACTCCTCAACACTGGTTACTTGGTGGTGTAAAAAGCCATCACATTGGTGACCTCAACATTAGAACTGCAGTAGACACAAGGTTCCAGCAGAGGGAGACAAAGCCACATACAGTGTCTCTGTTATATCTCTCTGACCACCAATGTCAACATATCTCTAAACATTCCATGTCAATGAATAGGATTAGGGGGGGGGGGGGGGGGGGGGGGGGGTAACTATTAAAACGTGACTGTTAAAATCTAAGAGATTTTTAAATTACAGTTGCGAATTCAAAATTTGGACTTAACGAAATGTAATTATTTATGTTATATACAGTATTAAATTAAGTGTATTACCCTTTCACATAATCAACACATAATTTTCTGGAAAGAACCCTGATGGGTACGAAGCTGATGGGTATGAAGCTGATGAGTCCGAAGCTGATGGGTATGAAACTGATGGGTACAAAGCTGATGGGTACAAAGCTGGTGGGTACGAAGCTGGTGGGTATGAAGCTGATGGGTATGAAGCTGATGGGTAGAAGCTGATGGGTATGAAGCTGATGGGTACAAAAGTGTATCTGATAGTCGTGCTCGCAGCAGACACTCACTTCTCAGCATTCATTACATTTACAGACACTTGGCCAGGCTAGCCAATCCTTCAAGGACTGCCCTCTGTTCCTATCCTACTATGTGAGGGGTTCAAAACCGTGTCAGCTTAAAACGGGTGTGAAATCTTTCGTTTTAAGAGTTCTTTGGAGGGGCACAACATGGGGGTATGAGGCATAGAGATGGGTGAGGGTATTTGGGGATATTATATACACTGGGTTATGTGAGTGAGTGAGTGAGTGAGTGAGTGAGGGTTAACTTTCATATGGATGAAGATTTCATATGGATGAAGTAAGCCTGCCCTCCGCTATGACGGGACATGGACAATTATAGATATAACCAGTGTTTAATAATAGACAGCAGCTGGTGGCATCCTTTTAGAAATGGACAGTCCCCTTCCCCCTTCCCAGTCCCCATGGAGGTGCCTTGCCCCCTCCCTGAATGGAACGATCGCCTTGCACAGGTTGCTAAGTTATGGAGGCCTACTCAGCCAGTCCGACCTTTTGGTATTTTGTAAAATAAATAGTGATAGCGTTCACTTCTGCCCTGCCGTATCCCGTTGCTGTAAATGCGTTCTCAATTAATGTACCTAATTAAGCACACGTCCTTTGTTTGCTTAAAACAAAGTTGCACCTGGGTTGCTCGCTCCGCGTGTCACTCTCAACAATTGCCTGCAATCTGCTTGCCACTCAGTTGTAATTTATCACATGAAATAGATATCGATCCCATTTCAGATAACTGATCGTTTGCAATATCCAATCAGTGTGCAGAGAAAAAGTCTCAATCTACAGCAGGGATCCACAACTTCCAAGAATCTATTGATTTCCCAGCATTTTAGTCATTTAGCAGATGCTCTTATCCAGAGTGACTTACTGGAGCAATTAGGGTTAAGTGCCTTGCACAAGGGCACGTCGACAGATTTTTCACCTAGTCGGCTCGGCGATTCGAACCAGTGGTCTTTCGGTTACTGGCCAGACGCTCTTAACCACTAAGCTACCTGCCAGCACCTTTTATAACTTCATGTATCAATCAGTAACTGCTTAGTTTACTTAATTTCATACTGATGATGCTGACTACTGACCCGCTGAATTTAGTCAAATTCTTTGCACCAATAATACTATGATTAACATGAGTTACTGTATATTACCAATGCTATACTGAGATACTCAATCATGGAAGTTCCCTTGGACTGGCCTAAATATAATGAAGGGTAGAAGAAGAGCTTAGCACCCCATCCCAGAAATTAACTTTAGTGATGCAGAGACAAAATTATGTATATGTTCCTAAACCAAATTATAGTCTGTATGCAGTACCACAAGGTCACAAATGTGATGTCACTCCCATAGTATGCATGAGCCCTGGGCTACGTTCCAACATCCATACTAGCATACTTCTTGGAATGCATGCCCATCCACTGTTCTGAGGGGTCTGCCCAGGGGACAGCATAGACCTCTGGATACCAATGTTAACTGGAGCAACAGTTACAGTGCATTCGGAAAGTGTTCAGACCCCTTCCCTTTTTCCACATGTTGTTACGTTACAGCCTTATTCTAAAATTGATTAAATAAAAACATTTCCTCATCAATCCACACACAATAACCCATAATGACAAAGCGAAAACTGGTTTTTAGAAATGTTTGCAAATGTATATAAAATAAAAAACAGAAATACCTTATTTCCATAAGTATTCAGACCCTTTGCTATGAGACTCGAAATTGAGCTCAGGTGCATTCTGTTTCCATTGATCATCCTTGAGATGTTTCTACAACTTGATTGGAGTCCACCTGTGGTAAATTCAATTGATTGGACATGATTCATACTCCCGAGTGGCGCAGTGGTCTAAGGCACTGCATCGCAGTGCTAGATGTGCCACTAGAGATCCTGGTTCGAGTCCAGGCTCTGTCGCAGCCGGCCACGACCGGGAGACCCATGGGCGGCGCACAATTGGTCCAGCGTCGTCCAAGGTAGGGGAGGGTTTGGCCGGCAGGGATGTGGGTTCGTTTCCCACGGGGGGGCCTGTATGAATAAAAAAACAAAACATGTATTCATTCACTAACTGTAAGTCGCTCTGGATAAGAGCGTCTGCTAAATGCCTAAAATGTAAATGTAAAATGTTGTAAAGGCACACACCTGTCTATATAAGGTCCCACAGTTGACAGTGCATATCAGAGCAAAACCCAAGCCATGAGGTCGAAGGAATTGTCCATAGAGCTCCGAGACAGGATTGTGTCGAGGTACAGATCTGGGGAAGGGTACCAAAAAATGTCTGCAGCATTGAAGATCCTCAAGAACACAGTGGCCTCCATCATTCTTAAATGGAAGAAGTTTAGAACCACCATGACTCTTCCTAGAGCTGGCCGCCCGGCCAAACTGAGCAAACGGGGGAGAAGGGCCTTGGTCAGGGAGGTGACCAAGAACCCGATAGTCACTCTGACAGAGCTCCAGAGTTCATCTGTGGAGATGGGAGAACCTTCCAGAAGGACAACCATCTCTGCAGCACTCCACCAATCAGGCCTTTATGGAAGAGTGGCCAGACGGAAGCCACTCCTCATTAAAAGGCACATGACAGCCCGCTTGGAGTTTGCCAACAGGCACCTAAAGGACTCTCAGACCATGAGAAACAAGATTCTCTGATCTGATGAAACCAAGATTGAACTATTTGGCCTGAATGCCAAGCGTCACGTCTGGAGGAAACCTGGCACCATCCCTACCATGAAGCATGGTGGTGGCAGCATCATGCTGTTTTTCAGTGGCAGGGACTGGGAGACTAGTCAGGATCGAGGGAAAGATGAACGGAGCAAAGTACAGAGGATATCCTTGATGAAAACCTGTTCCAGAGCGCTCAGGACCTCAGTCTGGGGCAAAGGTTCACCTTCCAACAGGACAATGACCCTAAGCACACAGCCAAGACAACTGAATGTTTTTGAGTGGCCCAGCCAGAGCCCGGACTTGAACCCGATTTAACATCTCTGGAGAGACCTGAATATAGCTATGCAGCGACGCTCCCCATCCAATCTGACAGAGCTTGAGAGGATCTGCAGAGAAGAACGGGAGAAACTCCCCAAATACAGGTATGCCAAGCTTGTAGCATCATAGCCAAGAAGACTCAAGGCTGTAATCGCTGCCAAAGGTGCTTCAACAAAGTACTGAGTAAAGGGTCTGAATACTTATGTAAATGTCATATTTCAGTTCTTTATTTTTAATACATTTGCAAAAATCTCTAAAAACCTGTTTTTGCTTTGTCATTATCGGGTATTGTGTGTAGATTGATGAGGAAAAAAAACTATTAAATCAATTTTAGAATAAGGCTGTAACATAACAAAATGTGGAAAATGTAATGTGGTCTGAATACTTTCCTAATGCACAGTATGCACCTTAGTGTACCTTAGCGTAAAAGGTCTACTGTATTAAATGATAGCCCCATAGAGTGGTTTTTCCAATTAAAGGCATGTTCCTGATATGTACTGTAGTGTTCAGAGCAATGGCTTGCATATTGTTGTCTAATGGTGTAAGAGAAAAATAATAACTCGCTTAGAGAAGATGAAAGTAGAATGGATAGGGGGGTTTCCATGATCCACACATCTTCCAAAAATGTAGAGGAGTCACTTTACGCTCAGTATTTTTAGCTGGGGCGAACGCATTACAAGTTTGGGCCCCATGTCTCCCTCTGTCACTCTCTCTCCGAGCCCTGCCTGACGGTGTCTGCTCTCTCGTATCTGAGCTGCCCACACCCTAGAGAGGTGGAGCCTCCATGTTCTTGTGCATTGGATCTGGGTGAGGCACCAGTTGCAGGGTGAGTCTTTTTGGCCGAGGTGTCTGCTGCCCTCCATGGCCCAATGATCCAGCAACCCAACCCTACCCAACACCAACACCTGCTGGTCTGACAAGTCTCAGGTTGAAGCTACGTAAAGGCCTGTTTACCCTGTCTGTGGTTTCTACTGACAACTAAGAACAAATAGGATTTCTAACCTCAACCTTTTCCCTTTGGATCCGAGACGAGGCGGTTGGCGACACCAACCATGGCTGATAAACTGGGTCTGGCTGTGGGGGACGATACGGCGTCCATCATGGCGCTATTGGAGCGCGTGGCGGGCATAATCGACAACGTGCAGGCATGCCAGACGCGTATGGAGGAGAGGCAGCTAGAGCTGGAGAACAGTGTCAAGACCATCCAGGAGGACGTGGTGAAGCTGACGGTAAACCATGCAGCCACCAGCAGCACAGTGGACAAGCTGCTGGAGAAGACGCGCAAGGTCAGCTGCCACATCAAGGACGTCCGGGTACGGGTGGAGAATCAGAACATCCGCGTCAAGAAGGTGGAAACCACCCAGGAGGAACTGTTGGCGAAGAACAAGTTCCGGGTTGTTATCTACCAGGTAATCCCATCCAGCCAATTTCATTGCTGCAAAAAGCAAAAAGCAAAAAGTGTCAGAAGCAAGGGTTCCTAATCATTGTCATCTTCATCCACTAACTGGCTTCATTATCGATTATTTGAGGATCATACTCTCAATAGTTGAACAAGGATATGGTAAATTGTTAAAAACTTGTGGACTTTAGTTAAGATTTTTCTGGCAGAAACAACAGACAGGAGGGGTGAAAGCATCTGTTAAAATAGAGGGTGTTATAGTGAATTCAAAGACTGGACTATTTTAGATGGCAGAATGGTACTGGCTTAATTTTACTTTGGCCTTCAAAGCTAACAGCTGCAAGCCCACCGTTGACCAGAGTTTTTCAGGGTCTAAGTTGCCTTGACAGCACGGAAGATATACTGTAGTCTACTAAAAGGTTAGATGCTGCACTCAAGAATACGAAACTATGTGGCAGATAGCCAATGACGATACGATTTGGATGAAGCAGCCAGGGATGGGGGCGGAGTGGATTTTGGCAGCCATTTTATTTGAGATGAGGAAAGAAGAGGGGAAGGTCAAATAACATAAAGAACAACATGGTTTTTCAATAGACAAACTGGATTCACTGGCAGCCGCATAATCACTAAAAAATATGCAGTTTGGCATGCGTGACATACTAATAATGAATCAAGCAGATGAGGAAATATTGCTTTGAAGTCAGCATCCAATGAACTGATTTAATTCCTACTCTCCCTTCTATGAAAATGGAATGTCATGCTGTAATTAAAGCTACCTAAGATGACTAGATCAATTGCCTAAGAAAACTGGACCAATTGTCTAACATTTTAACACCACTTTTTACTAAAAGACCTTACAGACAATGTAATTTATTTAATACTCATATTACCATTGGTATTATCTGCTATTTGATGTGAAGTTACTACAAATGGTAATTTCTAGTAGTTACTTCAAATAATTTATCTAGTTTGGTGACAATGGTTCTTGGTAATAACAAATATGTACGTACACTGTTACCCTGTGGTTTTAAAGAAAATACCAGGTTATTAGGGGACCGTAAAATAAAGTGATACCATTTTACTTCAAACAATATTTGCTCAGTACTCATACATACAGTGTCAAGACACTTCCATTCCATTTCACACTAAAGTGGGAAGTCAAAATGAAACAGGATAGGGAGGTTTGGGAATCAAACAACGTGTGGTGATATCTATGTCATGGTTACAGTAATGTTGGTTGATTGTCAAGGTATACTGGGATTGAAACATTTGTTTTACTGTCAGTCATTCTGTGATTGTGATATTTAGTGACCACTAGGTTTGCTCTCTTTTAGGTCATCGTTGTAAAATAACATGACTGGTAAATAAAGGTTGAATTTTCCTTCTGCCATTTTTTAGGATATGTGGCACAGACCCATAGAGAATGATAGAGGCCTCAAGTGGCCAAAAGGCTGTTTTAGCATGGGCAGCGCCATTGAGGGCTTCCATCATGCTTCCGCCATTTTAAAATAGTCAAATTAGTCAACTGGGTGGGGATTCCTATGGGTTGTAGCCTCAATGCCGCTGCCCATGCTGTCACAGACGCTATAATGGCACAGATATAAAGATGAGTCCTCTATCTATCTCTATGGAGAGACCCAACACGTACATGGTTAGTGATGATTCACTTATCATTAGATTTCCCTCATTAAAATGCAAATCAATTTATAACATTTTTGACATGCATTTTTCTGGATTTTTTTGTTGATATTCTGTCTCTCACTGTTCAAATAAACCTACCATTAAAATTATAGACTGATCATGTCTTTGTCAGTGGGCAAACGTACAAAATCAGCAGGGGATCAAATACTTTTTTCCCTCACTGTAGTTGAATGTGTTTTCAACATTAGAGCTATCTCCCAATTTATTTAGAGAAAGAAACTGTAAAACAAGTTACTTTCTTGATAGAAATCGGCTAGACACAAGGCGGATCTTAAATACGAAGAAAGTATACCCTCCTTGTTTTTTCAGCACATTTTGGGCAAGAGAACATTCAAATATCAATTAAAAAGCATACACTGATTTGGAATTATAGTTCTAATATAACCCTTTTATTGACCAGTCCCTCTCTCTCTCTAATCATTCATTTAGAGCACCTCCAGTCTTTGCAAAGTGGTCTGCTACTTATTTGCTGGGTCTAAATGAACAAGCCAGCTGACAAGATTATTCTAAGTTATTATTCAAGGTTATTCTGAGAGCCTGCTGTGCACATGGTTCTCTTTCAGTTTTTATTCTGAGAGCCTTTTCCTGTCAAGGCCCTCACCTCCTTATATAGTACTATTAGGTCTGAGGCTGTGAGAGTCAATAAACCTCTCTTGGAATGATATGAAAGCAAGGAAATAATAAGTAATTAAGTAAGTACAGTTGAAGTCGGAAGTTTACATGCACCTTAGCCAAATACATTTAAACTCAGGTTTTCACAATTCCTGACATTTAATCCTAGTAAAAATTCCCAGTCTTAGGTCAGTTAGGATCACCACTTTATTTTAAGAATGTGAAATGTCAGAATAATAGTAGAGAGAATGATTTATTTCAGCTTTTATTTATTTCATCACATTCCCAGTGTGTCAGAAGTTGACATACACTCAATTAGTATTTGGTAGCATTGCCTTTAAATTGTTTAACTTGGGTCAAACATTTCGGGTAGCCTTCCACAAGCTTCCCACAATAAGTTGGGTGAATTTTGGCCCATTCCTCCTGACAGAGCTGGTGTAACTGAGTCAGGTTTGTAGGCCTCCTTGCTCGCACACGCTTTTTCAGTTCTGCCCACACATTTTCTATAGGATTGAGGGCAGGGCTTTGTGATGGCCACTCCAATACCTTGACTTTGTTGTCCTTAAGCCATTTTGCCACAACTTTGGAAGTATGCTTGGGGTCATTGTCCATTTGGAAGACCCATTTGCGACCAAGCTTTAACTTCCTGACTGATGTCTTGAGATGTTGCTTCAATATATCCACATAACTTCCACATGATGCCTTCTATTTTGTGAAGTGCACCAGTCCCTCCTGCAGTAAATCACCCCCACAGCATGATGCTGCCACCCCCGTGCTTCACGGTTGGGATGGTGTTCTTCGGCTTGCAAGCATCCCCCTTTTTCCTCCAAACATAACGGTGGTCATTATGGCCAAACAGTTCTATTTTTGTTTCATCAGACCAGAGGACATTTCTCCAAAATGTACGATCTTTGTCCCAATGTGCAGTTGCAAACCATAGTCTGGCTTTTTTATGGCGGTTTTGGAGCAGTGGTTTCTTCCTTGCTGAGCGGCCTTTCAGGTTATGTCGATATAGGACTCGTTTTACTGTGGATATAGATACTTTTGTACCTGTTTCCTCCAGCATCTTCACAAGGTCCTTTGCTGTTGTTCTGGGATTGATTTGCACTTTTCGCACCAAAGTACGTTCATCTCTAGGAGACAGAACGCGTCTCCTTCCTGAGCGGTATGACGGCTGCGTGGTACCATGGTGTTTATACTTGCGTACTATTGTTTGTACAAATGAACGTTGTACCTTCAGGCGTTTGGAAATTGCTCCCAGGGATGAACCAGACTTGTGGAGGTCTACAATTCTTTTTCTGAGGTCTTGGCTGATTTATTTTGATTTTCCCATGTCAAGCAAAGAGGCACTAAGTTTGAAGGTAGGCCTTGAAATACATCCACAGGTACACCTCCAATTGACTCAAATTATGTCAGTTAGCCTATCAGAAGCTTCCAAAGCCATGACATCATTTTCTGGAATTTTCCAAGCTGTTTAAAGGCACAGTCAACTTAGTGTATGTAAACTTCTGACCCACTGGAATTTTGATACAGTGAATTACATGTGAAATAATCTGTCTGTAAACAATTGTTGGAAAATGCACAAAGTAGATGTCCTAACCGACTTGCCAAAACTATAGTTTGTTAACAAGACATTTGTGGAGTGGTTGAAAAACAAGTTTTAATGACTCCAACCTACAGTGTATGTACACTTCCGACTTCAACTGTAGGTAAGACAATAAATAGTAAGTAGGTCTGGATTCAATTCGTATTGCAGGAGTATCGCAGAAGATCTGCGCTATAGCTCGATGGAAATGTAACAGTGATTATATCTCATATATCAAATGGTACCTACCCAGCTACGCAGCTATAATGGAACAGCCCTGTAACTCTCAATTCAGCTCTGCAAGCAAACTTCTTCAACCATAAATGGAATTTTAGCATGATACATTTAATCAATCATTTGTATATTTGTTTACTTAATTTTTGTATTATATTATATGAGACATCAAGCTGCCTGACTGGTATAGCTGCTCCTTGAAACTGATACAGCTTGCTTAAGGCTTCTAATGCACTATAAAAAGTTACAAAAGCTATGATGTGATATGTTTAGCTTTCTACCGCCTAAAGCTGAGCTATATCAGCAGGTGTGAGTATTATTAATAGGCTGCAGTACACAGTTAAACTCCCAACTTTATTCAGTGAGAACAATATACGCAGTGGACCGTCCCACTTTGATGTAAAGGGTGTGCTAAACCATGTATTTGCATGGTAAACACATCATTGGTACAGTGTAATAATAGTATAAATACATATTGTAGTTTTGTGGCTTTCAGAATTTCAAAAGCTAGACTCATTAAAAACATTTTTTACAGAAAGTATTCACACCCCTTTACTTTTTCCACATTTTGTTGTGTTACAGCCTGAAATTAAAATTGATTAAATTGAGATGTTTTTATCACTGGCCTACACACAATACCCCATAATGTCAAAATGGAATTATGTTTTTCAACATTTTTACAAATGTATTAAAAGGGAAAAGCTGAAATGTCTTGAGTCAATAAGTATTCAACCCCTAAGTTCAGGAGTAAAGTTTTGCTTAACGAGTCACATAATAAGTTGCATGGACTCACTCTGTGTGCAATAACAGTGTTTAACATGATTTTTGAATGACTACCTCATCTCTGTACCTCACACATACAATTATCTGTAAGGTCCCTCAGTCGAGCAGTGAATTTCAAACACAGATTCAACCACAAAGACCAGAGAGGTTTTCCAATGCCACGCAAAGAAGGGCACCTATTGGTAGATGGGTATAAAAAAAGCAGACACTGAATATCCCTTTGAGTAAGGTCAAGTTATTAATTACACTTTGGATGGTGTATCAAAACACCTAGTCACTACAAAGAGACAGGTGTCCTTCTGGACAGGAAGGAAACCGCTCATGGATTTCACCATGAGGCCAATGGTGATTTTAAAACAGTTACAGAGTTCAATGGCTGTTATATGAGAAGGAAAAATAAGCACAGGCAAAATCCTAGCGCAAAACCTGGTTCAGTCTGCTTTCCACCAGAAACTGGAAGATTAATTCACCTTTCAACAGGACAATAACCTAAAACACAAGGCCAAATCTACACTGGAGTTGCTTACCAAGAACACAGTGAATGTTCCTGAGTGGCCATTTTACAGTTTTGACTTAAAGCTGCTTAAAAAGGTATGGCAAGACATGAAAATGGTTGTCTAGCAATGATCAACAACATATATTGACTCAGGGGTGTGAATACTTATGTAAATTAGGTATTTCTGTATTTAATTTTCAATACATTTGCAAAACTTTCCAAAAGTCCTTCTGTAGGACTTTCCAAAAACACATTTCTAAAAACATGTTTACACTTTGTCATTATGGGGTATAGAGTGTGGATGGGTGATTTAAAAAATATATATTTCATCCATTTTGAATTCAGGCTGTAGCCCAACAAACTTTCTGAAGGCACTGTAGCTGCACTCTATGGTCATTCATAACATAGAATGATTTATGATTCTTGGCAATATCTTCATAATGGCTGCTCTTATTTCAAACATGAAACATGAACCTATTAACTAATGTCTTAACTGGGTTATGGGAACCGCGGCATTAAGCGAAAACAGTTGGTCTATCATTCGCAGGATTGTCAAGGCGTCAGATTCTTTATTTAACATGATTTAGATCATACAACTAAGACACAATCAGAAATATTATGGCTGCCATTCTTCTCCAAACATCTATCAGGACTTATATTTGAGGTCTTTATTTTCTAAGTATTAACCTCAATAGTATTGCAATGCTTCTGTCAGTGCTCAGAAATCATTCAGACCTGATAAACAAAGTGCTACCACTTGATATTACAGATGTATACTAGCAGGCAGACTCACAAGTGCTTTTGTGAATCCCTTTGATTCTTTTGAGTTGGTTTTATGACACTTAACCTGGTTTATGTTCTCATTACAGGGTGACAGTGAGGTGCCAGCCATGGCAGCCGGAAAGGAACCCAAAGAACCCAGTGAACCCAAGGAACCGAAACCGTCTGCTGCCGAAGTTGAGCCAGACCACTTTGAGCTCCCCCCTGAGTCTGACGATGAGTACATGGTGGTGGAGGAAGCCTCGTCCATGGCAACTAAGATGAAGAAATCAGGCCTGACCCGTATGGAGAGCTTCAAGTCCACCTTCTCCCGCGTGAACATGACCAAGACGAAAGAGAACATGAGCAGCAAGGTTGGCCAGATGGGTGAGCGCATCGTATCAACCGAGCGTCGGCAGAAGATCCGCCAGTCTGGGGAGAGGCTCAAGCAGTCCGGCTCGCGGCTCAAGGAATCCATTGCCAGCCATGTGCCAGCCAAACTGAAGAAGGAGAGGACTGTGGCGGAGGGCCAGGAGGGGGCTGTGGGGGTCACCGAGGACGCCGCACCCATCCCGCCACCCAAGGGCCGCAAATCCGTAAACCCTAAGCTCGCCGAGGATGGCGTAGAGGAGGAGGTGCCGATGCATGATATCAAACAGCTCTCCTAAACCAGCGTTCAAGGAAATGGAAAACAACAACATCCGTGTATCTTTTTTTTTTTCATTTTTTTTTTTAAGGATTGGCCTGTGACTGATAGTCCCAGTCCCATAAACGGGCCAGTTAGGGTTTCAACACAATGAATTTATATAATCCACACAACACTTTGAAGTCATCTTTGTTTTGGGAATTCAATGATTTATATAGATAGAAGTATTTCTTTTTTTAGTCATTTTTTCTTACATTAAACATGGACTCACACGTATGCAAAACAAATAAACTGACAAGAATTACAGCAAATGTGTGTGATTGGACATTTTCTACAGACTTATAATCAACATATTATAATACATAAGACATTCAATTGTCAATTTGCATGTTGAAAGGCTGAATATGGGATGTTAAGGCTAAACTATTGAAGTGATGGAAGTTGAAATGGAGTTCTGGTATGTATGGTTTGATTAAGGTTAATGTTACATATGCAAAACATTAAATTGACTGGAAAATGTCTTTGTGCAAAGGTAAGTGAAGAATGATGAGCTTTTGGTCTCAGTTATGTAAATTCATGCCAGAACTAGAATTTAGTGATAAATAGAATTTCTTGTGCAATTTTTGCAGAGAAAACTCAATCAGCTGGTGTCTGAAGAGTAAAGCATATATAAAAAGCATATATCATTTCATGGGCAAATTGGTGGGTGGGTGAAGAAACTAATGTGCATTATGTCAAATATCTATGGATACGAAATGTTGATTTAAAAAAAAAATGTATTAGTTATACAAATGGCCAGTGGGAATAGACAGAATTTTGCTCCCTATGGAAATAAGCAGATTCATAAATATATGTCTAGTGTAGTTTAATATATAAAGCCATTACTAGGACATTTTATTGAGAGTTGTTTGCTGCAATAGAGTGAGTGATTTTGCATGTTTATAGATATTCTTTTATTTTATTTTGAGAGTAATTCTTTAGAGTGAATGTCACTGAATATATACTATATTTAAAGCCTCTCACAACTCATTGTGCATGTTATCATCTTATTCAAATGTCCGATAATCTTGTTAGCTGTAGATTTTGTTTCTATTTAATGAACACGGTTCTTTACTCTTGTTTAAAAAGGTCTAAAATAGGTGCCATACTAGACTAACTGTTTTGCTATAGTGCAACATATCTCAAGATAGTTGACATTGTTTACGTGAAGTCAAAAGCTTTTGTAAGTTCCCATGAAATGTGTTGTAACAGCTTTATGACAACCACACTTTGTTTATTACAACGTACAGGACCCAGTCATAAAGTATAGAGCTGTAACAAAAATAAAATCTAAACGGCATCCTTGTTTGCTATGTTATGCTTTATTACAAAATTATTTAAAAAATGGGTCCTGCTTTATTTGAAGTGCATCTTATGAAGGCTTCATTAAGCATTCATATAGACTTCATAAGCACTGCATAAATGGGTCACAAATAATCTATAACCGTATTTCATGCTCTATAAAAGATTAATAAATAAATTGATGGTTGTCACACAGTTATACCACATTATTAATCTTTATAGAGCATGATATACGGTTATAGATTATTTGTGAGGCATCTATGTAGTGCTTATGAATCCTATATGAAGGCTTTATGAAGCCATAAGATGCACTTCAAATGAAGCGGGACCAAAAAAGGTTATAAAGGTGTTATTACTATGATGCCACATGATGCTATTTAAATGCTTTTTGACAGCGTAAATCTTATCTTGGGATAAGGGAAACTTGAGTGTTAGGAATAACAGGTTGACTATCAAACAACAATCTTTTCTACAGCACTTTAGCAGATACAACACCAGGATGTGATGATGAGTTATTCAAAAACAGTAATTTCTATAAAACCATTGCACTGTTTCCATCTTCTGGTATTCTTTGAAAATATGTTTAATAAAAATGCAAAACAATGTTGCAAATGTCGGAGAGACAGACAGCAAGGTCTATACAATTCTCCGCTGTTAAAAACTAAATGTTAGTCTAAAAGAAATGTGAGATAATCTCTAGATTATTTTTATAGTGGAGATCAAGTTTATAAATTGCCTGGCTGGGCTGACGAGACAGTGGATTTCGCAGTCAGATGTAAATAGGCATTTTAACGTCATAGATTTAGCCGGTGGTAACTTGTGGAATAGACACTGTCTGGAATGCGGTTTTAACTAATCAGCATTCAGGATTAGACCCACCGATTGTATAAACGTTTAAACCTGTCGATTGAAGAAGCCAGTGAGCCAGAACCGACGGGGCCGTCCAGTGAGCCAGAACCGGTGTGGCCGTCCAGTGAGCCAGAACCGGTGGGGCCGTCCAGTGAGCCAGAACTGGTGGGACTGTCCAGTGAACCAGAACCGGTGGGGCCGTCCAGTGAGCTAGAACCGGTGGGGCCGTCCAGTGAGCCAGAACTGGTGGTGCCGTCCAATGAGTCAGAACTGGTGTGGCCATCCAGTGAGCCAGAACTGGTGGGTGGTCCAATGAGCCAGAACTGGTGGAACCGTCCAGTGGAGATCCAGGTATGGAACTGCTGGTTCCTCTCCAGTAGCTCGATGAACCAGAAGCCCACGTTGCCAAGTCCCATCTGATCTTCTGACACAGCTTGGGGATGTGGGCATCGTACATGCTGTCCAGGGCATCCCTCAAATCTTCCGACATGATAATGGTCTCTAATGGTACACAGGTTGGTTACGTTTTTTTTCCTGAAACCTATTGAAACACAACTCAAAGGATTCAGTTGGTAAAACATGATGACTAGAGGAAAATGTTGTCTAATGTTAGTTACACAGCACAGTGTGAAAAATTTTCGTGTTTTTATTACAGATTTCTATTTTTATAGTATCTCTGTATTACAGTATGTATTTTTCAGAGACTTATCATCGATGGTCAGTGTCAGATCAGTGAGGGTACTCCGTACACAGACTATGATTCGCTGCATACGGTCCAGCTCCTGCCACAGAAAGATGTTCATGAAGATGAGCTGTCACCTGAAGAACAAAGTACAGGGGACCTTATTATTGATGCAGTTGTTCAGTTGATCTGTGGTACATATGGGATCTTTACAGTGCCAATATATATAGTTTGTTGACCCCAACCCCTGAATGACACTACTGATCTTGCCCATGTCTGGTTGGTTACCTCATGTGGAACATAGTCCAGTGGCAGTTTGTCCAGCAACTCGTTGACCAGCTTCTGGACAGTGGCCTCTATGGTCGCCCCTCCCCCACCGTCCCCCCCCCACTGCCCCTCCCCCTCCACTGTTCCTCCCCCATTGCCCCTCCCCCTCCCGTGCTGTCCCCTCCCGTGCTGTCCCTCCCCCACTGTTCCTCACCACTGTCCCTCCCCCTCCCCCGCTGTCCTTGGGTTCGATATTGCTGATGGTGCTCAGGATATTGTGAAGACCGAATGAATACCTGTCGGTCACACAACTGGGATTAGTAAAAGTGAGGGGAAAAAAGTATTTGATCCCCTGCTGATTTTGTACGTTTGCCCACTGACAAAGAAATGATCAGTCTATAATTTTAATGGTAGGTTTATTTGAACAGTGAGAGACAGAATAACAAAAAAATCCAGAAAAACGCATGTCAAAAATGTTATAAATTGATTTGCATTTTAATGAGGGAAATAAGTATTTGACCCCCTCTCAATCAGAAAGATTTCTGGCTCCCAGGTGTCTTTTATACAGTTAACGAGCTGAGATTAGGAGCACACTCTTAAAGGGAGTGCTCCTAATCTCAGTTTGTTACCTGTATAAAAGACACCTGTCCACAGAAGCAATCAATCAGATTCCAAACTCTCCACCATGGCCAAGACCAAAGAGCTCTCCAAGGATGTCAGGGACAAGAGTGTAGACCTACACAAGGCTGGAATGGGCTACAAGACCATCGCCAAGCAGCTTGGTGAGAAGGTGACAACAGTTGGTGCGATTATTCGCAAATGGAAGAAACACAAAAGAACTGTCAATCTCCCTCGGCCTGGGGCTCCATGCAAGATCTCACCTCGTGGATTTGCAATGATCATGAGAACGGTGAGGAATCAGCCCAGAACTACACAGGAGGATCTTGTCAATGATCTCAAGGCAGCTGGGACCATAGTCACCAAGAAAACTATTGGTTAACACACTACGCCGTGAAGGACTGAAATCCTGCAGCGCCCGCAAGGTCCCCCTGCTCAAGAAAGCACATATACAGGCCCGTCTGAAGTTTGCCAATGAACATCTGAATGATTCAGAGGAGAACTGGGTGAAAGTGTTGTGGTCAGATGAGACCAAAATTGAGCTCTTTGGCATCAACTCAACTCGCCGTGTTTGGAGGAGGAGGAATGCTGCCTATGACCCCCAAGAACACCATCCCCACCATCAAACATGTAGGTGGAAACATTATGCTTTGGGGGTGTTTTTCTGCTAAGGGGACAGGACAACTTCACCGCATCAAAGGGACGATGGACGGGGCCATGAACCGTCAAATCTTGGGTGAGAACCTCCTTCCCTCAGCCAGGGCATTGCAAATGGGTCGTGGATGGGTATTCCAGCATGACAATGACCCAAAACACACGGCCAAGGCAACAAAGGAGTGGCTCAAGAAGAAGCACATTAAGGTCCTGGAGTGGCCTAGCCAGTCTCCAGACCTTAATCCCATAGAAAATCTGTGGAGGGAGCTGAAGGTTCGAGTTGCCAAACGTCAGCCTCGAAACCTTAATGACTTGGAGAAGATCTGCAAAGAGGAGTGGGACAAAATCCCTCCTGAGATGTGTGCAAACCTGGTGGCCAACTACAAGAAACGTCTGACCTCTGTGATTGCCAACAAGGGTTTTGCCACCAAGTACTAAGTCATGTTTTGCAGAGGGGTCAAATACTTATTTCCCTCATTAAAATGCAAATCAATTTATAACGTTTTTGACATGCGTTTTTCTGGATTTTGTTGTTTTTATTCTGTCTCTCACTGTTCAAATAAACCTACCATTAAAATTATAGACTGATCATGTCTTTGTCAGTGGGCAAACGTACAAAATCAGCAGGGGATCAAATACTTTTTTTCCTCACTGTATGTGTTGTATGTTTGAGTAGAGAAAAATATGTCAGCTGCTCCATTCTGATGGTTGCCTATTCAAAATGAACCAAAAGCAGTCTAACATGAACTGTCTGCTGACCACAATCAGAAAAGCAAGATGTAGCACCGATGTCACACCAATAACATCCCTCCCCCCTCTTACCTCTGGTGAGTCGACCAGCGGCAGGGTCTCAATGTGGAGCAGCTAATCCAGCACATTCTTGGTTTTGGGTAAAGTATAACCCTTGTAGAAACAGAACTTGACGGCGAATGTACTCTCGCAGAACCACATGCGGGTGAAGGTGTTTGTCCAGGTCGTCTGTGACGTGGCCACCATATTGGACATCGGCCAGAATGTAGCGCAGGCAGCTCCAGTTGACGCCACGCTTCACATCCAACTCGTCCAAGTGGTTCTGGACAAACTGCATGCTGGAGGTGATGTCTGCCTGGTTGAACTTATAGAGGACGTCCCAGCCCAGGAGACCAAACTTAGGAGAAAACCCAACACACATTAGACTGATGGATGGATAGAAGGATGGCTGGATTGACTGATTAATTCATTTATTAAGTAATTTATGAATTCATTAATTATTCATTCATTCATCCATTTATTCATACAGGGTAAAAACTCATT